GTTTTGGAGGATTTCTGATCCGTTGCTAAACGCTACTTTATTTTAACATCAAGCATCTCTCTTTAACACACTAAAATGGTAAAACCGAACAACATTGATGCGTTTTTTATATGTCGATAGGTTCGGAACACTTTGGAGCCAAAAAAAAGGGACAAAAAGAGGATTTTTGACAGCTTTGCAAGGCTATGGTATTTCAAGAATATCTCACTCGTCCGAGCTCGGGTTTAAGTGATTCAAGATGATCTGGAAAGATATCAAACAACCTTACAACTTTTAAGTTTTGAGTTTCTGCAGATTCGGACTGCAACAAAGACAAAATTGACATCAAAGACGGAAAAAAGCTGCTGGACAGCAGCTGAAAAGAGCAACTCTACGTTCTTTTTAGATTTGAAAAGATAACAATAAAAAGGGGAAGGTAATCTCCATGGAATTCACAGAAACAAAATCGAGGAAAAAAGAAGAGGATCTGGTGGATTTTAAGAGAGAAAAAGGGGAGGAGGTGGACGACTGAAAACATACGTAACAGACATTCGATCACCAAAACAGAGGGGCTTTCGAGTGGTTCTATACGCATAGAAAAAAGGGGCTGTTGGGGCGTTATTAACAGAACCGTAAGGGGCTGCTGGAGGCTCGAGGGGGGCTGTTTTGACAACACCAAAAGCATCAACGAACAAAGATTTGCTGCTGCGTTTCTTATAACGAACAAGAGTTTGCTGGGTTATGATTTGGTAACGTTGATCAAGAGCGGGCAACAGGAGGTAGTCAAAACAAAGGTAATTTTTTGATGAGATTATTCTTCGTTGGTTTTGCATATTGATGAGATTTTTGGTAGTGACATTCAAACATTGTATTGGTGATATTTGGGTTACAGAAGCTTTGTCTTGACATTGTTTATATATCTATTCTCTATACATATATTTTCTGGAACAATGCATGAACATCAAGAAAGTGTTGGAAGTCCATTACCATTATGAGCTAAATCTGTTTCAAGGTCGATCCGATGTGAAAACCCACATGTGATTTGATTTTGGTTTGTTTTTATTATGATTTATCATTCATGGACGTTGATTCCATAGTGCTCGTTTTTCCAATTATGAATCATAACTAAGCGATCCGACTCACATTGGGCCTAGTGCCCACCGACAGCTAATGCGTTTCACTTATTAAACATGGTTCTATGGTCTGTCTGTGACCCCAAGGACGCCGGCCGAAAGGGATGGAAGGACAGAGCTTTTGTTTTTCATGTCGTCAAAGAGTTGAACAATAGTTTTTTCGTGTTGTTAAAAAGTTGAACAATGAAAATAAATAGCGAGTGTCCGATATATCTTACAACTAGAATTCCTCTTTTTTCCGACCCAGTCCCTCCACCACCGTGGACCCCAATAATCTAATATGAATGATTCACCATTGACTCGGTTTTTGGTTTTTGGTTTTTGGTTTTTGGGAAACAATCAACCTATTGAAAATGGAAGAATCAAAGGGTATGTTCGTTATACTCTTCATGATTCGTTTAGGAATAACCAATTCATGGGGCGGTTGGAGTATCCCCAGGAGGGGGGGGGGGGACTATAACGAATCCGGGCATTTGGTTACTCATTTACGATAAATAATAAATAAAAAGGCTATTTCATTTCGACAAAAGACCCACACCCAAGTTCCATAGCTTTTGGTCCGTTATCTCAATCATGATTATCCTACCACTAGAGAGAAAGGCCCTTCCCTTTTTTCAGACCTACTGCCGGTAATAAGTAGCAGTAAAAAATTTGTATTTATTTTTCATGATATTATGCATGAATCAGATATATCATGGTGAATTCTTCAGAATTTTTTTTGGCTTCCACAATGAAATTTGATAAGTGAGATTTCAAGTAAGTGTTTCCATAATCCTCTTCTGTCGGAAGAAATGGTTCATCGACATAATGAGTCACCATTGATATTGACACATCTAACAATTTGGAGTTACGAAGGTGTGGTTGGAGCGCATATTGTGTTTTGTGGGTTGTGCTTTTTGGCAGCCATCTGGTTCGGTGTCTTTGGTGTCACGGACCGACCATAGAATCATGTTCAATAATTGGCCCCATATCAGTTATAGAAGAAATTCCTACGAATATGAAACCCATATGAGAAACAGAGGAATATGCTATTCTTTTTCTTTTAATTCCGTTGGTCGGGTGAGTGATTCATGCGGTTCTCGCGAAGGCCAAGTATATTGGATTCAAATTCATATTTTGCACTTCTACAGCCGGTTGATCAAAATGAGGATCCCAAATTGCATGAGTAATAGGTCTTACATGTAAAATGTAAATCCTTTTCCTAAGTTTTCTTTATTTATTCTCCATCTAAACTAAATTTTTTAGTATATATGTAGTGCCAATCTAACACACGTCCTTTTTTTACTATTATTTCATGCGGACTACCTGCACCTAGACAAAAAAGACCCTATGAAGGTTCATTGTTCCTGGGATTGGCTTTAGGCTTTCCAGTGCAATTTGGGTGGAAGGCGAAGAAGGCCTCCTTCCGACATAGGTGGACCTGGTGTGGTGGCATGGGTGGCACGTGCCACCGTATTATTTCGCAGCCGAAGGGTAAAAAATTTAGGTTTATTAACGGTGCTACCATATCGTTTTAGAAGGTGCTACCGTATTTCCCTGAAATCCAAATGGTGCAACTAAAACCCAAACAAAACAAAGCCCAAACAACCAAAACCATATTTTTTGTAATTATTTTTGGGTATATATTGACCGTTTTCAAAAGATGAAGACGCGTCGGATACAAGTTTATGAGTTGTTTATCGGTACTATAAAAACCATATTTTTTGTAATTATTTTTAGATGTATATTATACTATATTAATTATATGGTGCCACCGTTTGAAAAAAAAATTGGATTCGTCCCTTCCTTCCGAGGGTTTTAAATTTTTAATCGTTGATTTATTTGTATGTGTTTAAATTGAAAGTGTTATCACGATTGATTGACACAACTTGGATGGTTCATGGGTAACTCCTTACTGTGCCAAACACAATAGTGTAGGTGGGAGGACGGTTGGTTTGTATAGGCATGGATTATGTTGGAGGGTTGGATCGGTGCCTTGACATGTTGATTTAGGCAATGCATTTAAAACTGAATATTGCATGAAGACAAATTAAATTGGTGAAACACTTGGGTTAGTAACATACGGTTGACCTTGACTTTTTTTCATCCTTAGAACTCGTTTTCTCAATTTTGTTATATTTATTTTTCTTATAAAAAAAGCCAAAAAGATTTTCTATTTATTTGTTTCTTAATTTTAACGCAATTCCTTTAAGGCTTGATTTGGTTACTGTTAATTGTAATATTTAAATTTCAACTTCGAGTCTTGAGCTTTTATTGATTTAATTGATTAGTCTATCATGTTAACACAAATAATTAGTTTGACCACTGACTTCATGAGAAGAACGATACCCGACTTACCACTTTACCGATTTGAATCACGTTTATAAATTTAGAACTTATTGTACCTTTAACGACACGTGCAACAATTTTCCCGAAGATCAAGTTTTTTTTCAGTGGAAACTCAAAGTTTGGTTTGAAACCTAGATTTAATATAGATCTAGCAAGGTGAGTTCTAATTGCTTTGCAGAATTATAGACATGTCAAAATATATTTATTTTGGGTTTTGAACATATTATCACGAGTTCACTTCGTATTTGATGGGTTATGTGAATATTTATGCATTTGAGCATATTTGGATTATCAAATCTTTAAAGATGGTTTATGATGTTTTAAAAGACCAAAAGAAATCTATTTAACTAAATGTGACTTTAAAAGAGGTAACTTGGGTTAAAGATGATTTTAATGGATTTGTTGAACGGGTTAAAGTCTTTATTGACCTTATTTGCAGTCAAATGTCGTTTTGGAATCTTACCCAACTTATGGGCCATGACGATGGCACTTTAAGCCTTTGACCACAGGTGTATAAACCTTTGAGATTTACCCTTCTTTGGTTCGGTGTGAAATTTGAGAATACATGTCATATAGTTTCGGGCCTTTTGGCTATAAAGCTTCAATGAAGTGTTGGTTATGGACCTATTCATATTATAGGTGCCATGTATTTATTAAATATTGGGAAATATGTCTTTTTGGATTATGTATTTTACATTGGCTTTACTGAAATAGTCATATGTTGCATTGATGCTCATTGGAGCCATATAGGAGACCATTGATTTGTATGGTGAAACTCATCTGGAGGTCAAGTAGACACTAGGATCATTTTGGGAATCTTGTGGTGGTGCTCAATAGAGCCGTATATGGGGATCTATGACCCGAGACGAAACTCGAGAACACTAATAAGTGGCTTACTTTTGTGTTATGCCACATTCGATGGAATTGGGTCTCCCTATAACCGAAAGGTGTTGATTTGGGGCACTTCATTGCCCATGCTTCCGGTGTTTTGAATATATAAATTTATCGGTCTAATTGATGTTTTGGAGTTTGCGCCTTGCGTATGTTTGGATATTGGTTATTTGTCTAAAACGGGTATTTGAATTGAAATAACGAGCTTTGTAAAGATATTCCTTTCTATGACTTGAGTTTAAATGATGGGTCGTTGTTTTTAAGAAAAATATTCATTTTAACTGTTTTGCGTTTTATATGAATAAACTGTTTTAATTTACTAAACGTTAAGCCTAACACTTTTTCTTATCGACATGTACATCAGGTCTTAGTGGGATCTGAGCAGCATTTGAAGCTATGTAGAGGTTCCAGTAGGACGACTTTAATATGCGTGATCCGGTTTTGGAAGATAGAAGACCTGACTTGTTATATTTTGATTGAGAATAAGATAGTCCCGTTTAGAAACTCTGGTACATATTATTTTATCTTCCTTCTTTTGTAAACTTTAAGTAATTTGTTATTAAAGATATTTTATTTAAAGGATCTGGATGTTTTAAACTGTATGCTATTTTCTAAATTTAGGACAAACTGTAATTAATTCAAAAGAGGGACAAGAATAGCAACCACAGGGACCAAAAATGTAATATACTCTATAAATATAAACGTGTTTATATATGATAACATTTGGTAAGGAAAATTACATAAGTTTTAAGTATTTACAATCGGAGTCCTTATAGTTTAGATCATCAACTAGGTAACCAAACGACACTGAACTTTTAAATATCATACATAGACACATGTCAAAAAACCCGTTACGGAACGCTAAAATTCGCAACGAACTCCCCTTAAGTTTTAATGCCATTAGCAGCAACGTGATGGTTGGAGTTGTCAATGTGTTTTTTCGCAACATGGAATTGTGAAGCATATCTGGATGGCGTTTCAGATGCAATCACAGGTGGTTCATTCAAAAACGCCCATCTGCTATTCATCCACCTGTAAAAGAACTCCCAAATACTAATATCAGCAATCATGTCAACAATAATATGTATTTAACTGAAAAAATATGAAAATTTCAAATTAGAACCCACTATTAATTATAAGAATCATGAAGTATTCAGTACAAAAACTTAAAATCTGAATAATATATTACCATCCATTCTTGAAAAGCTTCTCCCTATTTCCTTCTTCGTCTTCTTCTTCAATTTCAGCAACGGGATTTTCCTTTGTGATTGGAAGGGAATTTGATCTTCCATACATCTTTTCAGTCTCATTTTTCTATTATAAATAACATTATCTCTTAGATTTTATAGAAAACATCATAATTAAAAAAAAAATCTAGACGCCTTTTGGATGTAGCAGTCGGCCTTGAATTCATGATCTAGTTTATCATGAAAACACTAAAATGGTACTCGTACAATGCAGCGAGATATATCTTCATTTTAATGTTTCGTTTTTATTTTTTATCTTTGTTGATATAATATGATTTATGTGGTTTTGAGAAAGATAATGTTTTTACGATTTAGTTGAAGTAATTTATTTTTGGCTTAACAATAATATTTTATAAAGATAATGAATGATTCTGTTAGAACTCAATGATTATTCTAATTATATTTTAGATTTTTCATATTCAAAATGAGATATTTATCCTGTATTTGATTATGTTTATCTGCAGTTAGTTATACAAATTCAAATATGAAGCTTTAATAAGTTGTACTTATGCACAATTTACTTGTAATATTAAACTTTAAGTAATATGCTATATAGTACTTCATGCATAATAAATGGTTTTTAAGAGTTTTTGTTAAATGCTTTATAATATAGTATATATATATATATATATATATATATATATACATACTAGAAGGGTACTCGCGCAATGCAACGAGATACATCTTGATTTTAATATTTAATTTTATTCTTTACCTCAGTCAATATTATAATATGGTCTTATGTGATTTTGAAAAAAACGATGATGTTTTTATTTTTAATAAAATATAAATTTGAAGATATCATAAAAATTTGACAAAAATATATCGATATTAGTAGCAAATTAACTATTTAAACTTCCTTATCTTTGTGTAGTTTTTAATTTAATTTTTTTATTACAATTTAATTTAGGGTCAATAACGAAGTAATTTATATTTGATTTAATAATATAATTTTTTATAAAGATAATAATTAATTATTTTTGTTAGAACTCGATATTTATCTTAATTATATTTTAAATTTTTTATATTTTAAAATGAGATGTTTATCTTCTATTTGATTATGTTTATCTACAGTTAGTTACACGAATTTAAACATGGAGCTTTAATAAGTTGTATTTAAGCATAATCTACTTGTAATCTTGAATTTTAAGTAATATGCATCAATAAACAGTATTTCATACATAAAAAGTAGTTTTTAAGAGTTTTTGTCAATGCTTTATAATATAGTATATATATATATATATATATATCTAAATATTTATTTACACTTTATACCCTCAATTTAATAATAATAATAATAATAATAATAATAATAAAAACTTAACCTGATTTCCCTTTGAAAACGTGTGAGAAGATTTAAGAACACCATGTACTTCCTCTTCGTTTTTCTTCGATCTCCAATAACTTGCAATTTCTACCTTCGTCATCGACGTGTTCCTATCCAATTTCACTATAAATAACAATTGAAAATACACCTAAATTAATAACCCATCGTCCTTCAATTGACCGCTAAACAAAATTTTATAAAAAAACCGTTCATGATTTAAAACATCAATATTTACTGGGTTGGACCCGTTTACCAACGGATGACATGTTTAGCAATAAATTTCTTCTGGGTTGGATCAAAGGTGGACGCATAATTTTTTTAAACGGAACACAATTTAACCTGTTTAGTTGGTTAGTTGCTTGTATTTYCGAAGATACGTTGGATTCCTTGCAACTCTAACTTCAACCAATTTAAAAAACAGAACTATAAAAAAAAAAACTCGATATTAAAAGCTAAAAAATAGRAATCTTGTTAAAAGCAAGATTCAAATATGAGCTTTCTTGAAAGGAGAACTTAAAAACCAACCCGATTACCTAAAATTTATGTTATAAGTGTATTTTCACACAATATTTTGGCATACAACGAAAAATTATGATAACACTGTTAAGAAACGTAACCGTTTTCCAGTATAACAGAACCATGAATATGGTGCCATGCCACCGTATACCCTATAATAGATCCGTTTTTAGATCTGGTTTATCGGTAACCTTTGTTTCAACTAGTATCTAAATCACTAAACGTATGTATTAAATTCTTTAAATAAATTTAACCGGGTTTTTCGTAATTGAAACAATTAAGACGTACAAGTTTTAATGCATAAAACAGAAAGTAATACTTACCGGATTTAGAAGGTGAGTCCCAACCTGCCATTAAAGAACCCATTTCTGCTTAAACCTTCAAAACTATTTGAAATTCTTGTCTTTCCAGGAGATAGTAGTAATGGTGGTGTCACTTGATGTGTGTGTGGATATATATATTATATAATGTTACATATATATATATATATTAATATATATATATATATATTAATATATATAATTATATAGTGTTATATATCGAGGATATGGTTGAAAGCGATAATGGTGGCAAGTGTCAATAATTTATATATTTTTGTCCTTTGATCTTATCTTTAAATCAATTTAAAAATTAAAAAACATCAAATATATTTTAACTGATTTATCTTTTACTAATTGATTTATCTTAAAAAGTCGCGTTAATCTTAGGTTTGAGTTGGGGTCCACTTATTTGTTTGTTAGTGAATGAGTCTTATGGAGCGTTTGATTTCATAAAATGATTTTGTAAGATTGGATTTTATGGAAAGATTAAGATTTAAGGAAAATTAGATTTAGAATCGTTTAATTTGCATAATTTAGAGCAAACAAATTATAAATAGTTATAAAAATAATTAAATTATCTTTTTATTAAGTGCTTATTGTAGAATAAATGTTTTTAATATATTATAAATAATTTTACATATCTATACTATATTATAAAACATTTGACAAAAACTCTTAAAAATTATTTTTTATGCATGAAATATTATTTAATTGATCCATGTTACTTAAAATTCGAGGTTATAAGTAAATTATACATAAGCTACATGTTTGAATTTGTGTAAATAACTATAGATAAACATTATCAACTACAGGATAAACATATCATTTTAAATATAAAAAATCTAAATTATAATTAG